GCTTGGTCTTGGATTTCTCTCCCATATGCCTTTTTTCTTTCTTATCACGTGCTGCTTCCTTCCATGTATAATTATTTAGCTACTTTGTTTCCCAGAATTTCTTTATATTCCTATCTTAAAAGAAAAAGTTTAAACAAGAAAGGCAGTTCTCAGTTAGATATTTATGCAGCATAATGAGCTGCTTTCTGTGTTATATACCTTCATTCTATCCTGGTACAAACAGGCAGAAGACATAAAATGAAGGATGAAGCAGAGAAAAAAAGAAGTCTTGACATTCAGGATCATCAGGACAGCACAGTATAGTGAAGACTATTAATCTAGAGCTTCCTTGGGATTGCCTTTCAGGTTAATGTATGCTCTGAGTATTGGCTTTGCAGCAGTAAAATGAAGATTCTGAAATTTCCCTACCTCAAAGACGCAGTGTGAAGACAAATATATTAGGAGTTTGAGGGGTGACCACATAAAAAAGGATGAATGAAAACCTGTTGGCTTCAATGTGGCAACATCCTGACAAATACTTAAGCAGTAGACAAAAATACTTAAGTGGTTTTCAAACTGTGTATTTTCAAATTCATTGCCAGCTACAGAAAACAATAAATTTTCCAACATTTTACTTCATATATGAGCTCTTGGGACAAGTAAATCTCAGCATACTACTACAATATTTTTTGAGATACATTTCCGTTTCTACAGAAGTTTGGGAGATAATTTTTTTCCAAGAGCGATATGTCATCTAGATAATTAGTAATAATCCAGAAAAACTGGATAAATGCTTTCTAGAAATCAGGTATTCCTTTTTAAAATACTGTAGTTCTGAAAACCAATACTGAAAATTGAAACGATTTAATAAAACATTCACAGGACATGTTGTTTGTTCCGTTTTTGATACAACCACATTTGCAGAGTAACCACTTACTGCAAAGCTCATTTTGTACAGGTAGTTCAGAATTCATTTCACAAAATAAAAATTAAGTGAATAATCAAGGATGAAGAGTTAATGGAATAGTGTTATCTTCAAGAACTTCTTTCAATAGCTCTTCTGACATCTCTGATGTTTCAGTAGCATGGACAGGGAAAATATTTCTCTCACTACTGAAAAACAAGAAAAGGTGTGATAATGTGGAAAAGAACCTCCAGTTATGAAGTAAAGTGACAACCAAGCTTGGGTGTAAAAGTAAACTAAGCATTGTTAAGGGATTATGGACATCAGAGCCTTGATGCACTGAAGTACATGATTATATGTTCCCACTGAGTCAGTGGGAGTGAGTTTTTCACTCTAACTTCAGCTTTTAGCTTTTGAAAGCCTTCATAACCACTTGAAGTTCTCCAGTTTATCTGCAAGACATAACTTAGTTGAGACTACATTTTAATTTTATAATAATCTGACTTAAATCTGCATAACTAATGCCAGAACTAGGAGTGTAGGGTTTAGTGTTGACACTGCAATTCCTATAAAGCAGGAGAAGCGTTTTGGGCAATGCCCATGGTATTCCTGCT